TTGCACTTGTTCTTTTGAAAAGTATCATAATTTATAAAAAATGCTGACCTTTAAGATTCACTATAGAAATATGATTGTTGAACTTGTCATTTAGTTTTTTGACATTCTGTATCATTTCTAATATTTTTATTGTTTTTTATTCTCTTAAAAAGATTCACATTAGACAGAAAAAAGTGAATTCTAATTATTAAATATACTATTAAATTTAACTGTGTGCTCTTTTTTTTTTTTCTTTTTTTCTTTTTCTGTGGCTGGCTCACCCCACCCCACAGGCAGGACTGGTACAGCATGGGGTGCTGGGGATTGAACCACTGTCCCTGCACTTTGCCTAAGTTTGCCTAAGCAGGCGCTTTAGACCGCCGAGCTATCTTACTGGTCCCATTAACTGTATGCTCTTTAAAGTTAATTTTTTCAAATAATCTATGATCAAAACTATTAAGATCTAATAATAAAAATATTGATCCCTATCTCACCTTTGTATCTCCAGACCTCTAAGCAAATCTTATTGTTGCTAACATTTTCACTGCCGTGTGTCTGAATGCTCTGCTTATACTGGCATTTTTAAAGTCAGTGGTGAGGGAACTACTGGACTCTATTGGGATATTTTGCTGAATTCATGCACCTACAGTATTTAAATGACAATGGAATGCCCTTCTCTGACAAAACTAGTCGAAAAGTGGGATAGAAATGAATGACCATTTTGTATCCGTATACTCAATAGTTAGGCTAGATGTACAGCTCCATTCTCCTAATTCAATGAATGGAGAGGTTTGTTCTAATGGTGTTTGAGACAGGCTATCATGTCTGCACCTCATACAATGAATAACCACTAAGACAATGATATGAAATGTATTAATTATTGGAAATGTGCTAGTAATTGGTTGTGAAACTGTCTCATTGCTATTTGTTTCTCAATAAAGTTATTTTAAAAAATAATAAAGTCAGCAGTGGGCCCTTTCTGTTGACTCCGGGTTGCGGAAGACGTAGTCTGTGTTTTCTGTCTCCGGGTCCCCTCTCCTCCTCTTGAGCCAGCATGAGAAGAGCCTGAGGCAGTACTTCTGCTTTTCCAATGATAAAGCTAATTTTAGCAGAGATGGGTTCCCCAGTTCAGTACTCTGGTCTGTAGCTCCTTCTGCAAAGAAGTTGAGTGCTCTTCCTGATGCTAAGTGATGGTGCTAGGTCACTATTGTGGTACCCTCACTTACTCTACCTTGTAATCTCGTTAAAAAGTTACGGAGTTAGCTACGTTGCCACTGGTGTAGGGAACACACCTGCATGTCTGTCGGGCCTGCCTGTGAGCAGCAGCCTGCCTGCTGCAAGTCTCTGGCCGTGGTCCGCGGCTAACAAGCAGCCGCTTTTTAGTTCTGCCACACCCGTACTCATCATTCTGATTTGGAAGCAAATAGCAAATAATAGCTCAGTGTTCTTTAGTGTATGCTTGAAAAGTGCTGAATTCATAACCCACTTAAGTGACTTAAAATAATGTACGTTAGCATGGTATAAATCTGTCTATACACACAGATCATCTGCACTCTGTTGAACCATTCCTGTAAAGTGGAACTGTATTGACCTTTCTGTGGAACGTGTATATTTTCTCCCAGAATAACTTAGAAGATGAAGATGTGGAGACGAAAAATAACATCACCCAGGGAGACAAACTGCGTGCCTTAAAAAGCCAGAGGCAGCCTCGCTCCTCGCCAGCCTGCGCTTTCAGGTACAGCCGCGTCGCACGCTAAGGTCTCGGGCGCTTCCCCGTGGGTGGAACGGTCCTGTCCGGTGCATGTGGCTGTGCAGATGCCGAGAGCGCCTCGGGTTTTCTGCGCTTCAGCTGGTTTTGGTGTTCAGTCAGCACGCATTTGGTCACGGCTGGAGGAGCTTAGTGTAGAAGCTCTGTTGAAAGCGACTGCACATCTCCGGCCCCGGAGTTCTGCCGCAGGCTGCCATGCAGTCTTCACAAGCACCCTGTCCGTGTTCTGCTTGGATTCTGCCTCTCTCCTGGCACTGGGTTTCTGGTCCGAGGGAAAGTCCTCACAGAGGTGCCAACAGCGCGGCAGCAGAGCCTTGCAGGCTGAGCGGTGGCACAGCCCAGTCATGCCTCAGCTTTACTTTCTGTTTGTGAGAATGAATTAAATGGGTCTTACATGCGCCTGTTAAGTTACCAACTGTCACGCTTTTGAAGTCCGTAAATATTCACCAAAATTCGTGATGGAGCTTGATTTCTGACGATAGCATTTGAAATCTGCTGATACTGCAGATTGGGTTTTAAAGAAGGAAAGATTGGGTGGCGATCTCGCTCAACAGCACAAGTACCTGCCTGGCAGGCGCAAGACTTGGGCTTGATTCCCGGTACCAGTAAGTAAATACATGAGTGAATGAGTGAGTGAGTGAGTGAGTGATTTCAGATCCATGTAGGTGGAAAACTCTATAAATACTAAGATTCTTTGCTGCAATATATGGAGTGAAAAGACCCTCGTCCACAAAAGAACGCACTGGAGCCAGCAGCTTTCTGACGTGGAAGGGAGAGGCTTGCATAGCAGGTGGATTATTTTGCCCGCGTGGTAAATATCAAATGGATTCACAGGAGTTTGCTTTTCATACGAGGGGCGTTTAATTCAGGCTGAATTTTCATGGACTAGTTTGCTGATCTAAGAAATGAAAATTCATATTGAGGTTATGATTTTCTGTAGGACAGTGACAAAATAGGCTGGCAAGCCTGGGCCTGGCCGTAGCCACCGACCACCACTCCATGATCGAGGAAGTTCTGTTCGCTGCGCCATGTGTGGTGCGTGGCGTGGACATGAGCCTTAACAGAGTTATCCCAAAAGGTCCTCAGCACTGCCTCCACCTCTGGGTTGGGTGCTTGATGCCAGAGGCCTTCTGCCTTTTCCCAGTGGAATGCAGTTAGAAATGGCACTGATCCTGAGGCCCAGTGCTGCTCAGAGTCTGTGCTCTTGCCACCATACAGGCTGTACGTGCAGTCTTTTAGGTCAGTGGAAGGTTCTTTGAGATCAGTTTATGTCACCACTCTTTTTTTTTTTGTGGAACTGGGGATTGAACTCAGGCCCTTGCGCTTGCCAGAGAAGCGCTTATTCCACTGAGCCATCTCGCCGGCCCCTCACCACTGTTTTTTTATTTACTTTTCCTTTGAACATCTAACAGATTGCTTTATATTTAAAATTCATTTGAAATAAGTTTCAAACTGATTTATATTTGATTTTTAAGAATTCTTAAGGGGAAAAAGGGATATGTTGGAAAGAAGTACAGCTGCAAATAAATAGCCGAAAGGAGTGGCTGTCCTTACGCAGATCTCATGGTGAGCTCTGAGCTGCGCTTCTGTTCTCTTGTTAGTGCTCACACACCTTCTCGGGGGGTTTCGAGCTCTTAACAAAGTCATGGTAGCACGAGGAAGTGCTTTTTTACTCCAAGTAGAGATACTACTACTATTATTTTCAGTGACAAAAGGCAAGATGCTGTAAATGACATTCAAGTTGAAGTAAAATGACTAAATTAGGTTTCCTGCTGGTTCTTGGGTTTATTTGATAAAGTAGATAAATATGCACTTGTGAGGTTTTCTCTCGTTCCCCATGTAATACTTTACGGAGCTGCCTCCGCACATGTGCCTGTGCTGCTGCTCCCACGGGCGGCCTGTTGATGCCTGCTCCTTGTCTTGGATTTCTGCAGGTCAGATGATGGGAGAGGGCACCCGCGAGCAGCGCTGCAGCCCTTCAGGTACTGTCTCCAGGGGCTTTTGCAGGAGCTGGTAAGGGAGTATGTGTTGTCTTTCAGGTTCAGGCTGATGAAAGTAAACGGTGCACGGCTTGTCACTGTTTATTGTTTATTGTTTTAAGGGAAGGGTCTACAGGGTCTCACTGCTAGGTAGGACTCATAGGGATTCTCCTGTTTACAGCCTCCCAAGTGCTGGGATTACAGGTGCGCGCCACCATGCCCAGGCTCAGTTGCAGTCTCAGTGCGCCCCGCTGGGGGTGGGGCTGGCATCGCAGGCCTGAGGGTCAAAGTCCTGGCTCCTGCGCCTGCTTGCAGGTGCCTCACTCCGCTGAGCTATTTGGCCAGCCCATCACTGTTTAAATTCCTTTCCTTCTGATCTAGATAGTGGCAGGATAGTTTACTTTTTAATGCTCACCAAGCAAAGGACTCTGCCTTCCTGGCCTGCGCCGAGGGCCGCGTGGCTGTGAGGGTGGTGTCAGGGTCCCCTGTGCTCCCAGCACACTGCAGGGTCTCTCATAAACCGCAGGCATTCTGCGACTTCCTTCTCAGTTCAGGGATTGAGTTTGCTTTGGTTTTTTCTTTCATTTGTTCTCTTTCTGCCTGTTTTTGTATGGTATTAGCTCAGCTCCTTCATTCTGTAGTCTCACTTCCTCCCTTCTACTGGAGGAGGACACATTAGTGTGAAGCGTTCCCTAAAGAATGTCCCCTGGACATTCCTGGAGCCCTCCCAGGTGGTGCAAGGCCAGCCGTGGCGTGCGGTGAGGGCCGTGGAAGGTGTGGCCAAGACTGGTGGAGTTGAAGAGGCCCCTCCTGGCTGGCTTCCCTTGGTTACCACCCCTAGGTTTACAGTTGTTTCCATGGAGGTTATTGGGGAGGCCCAAGCTTCTGTGTATGACTTTTCCCCATTTTTGTTTTGAGGCAAAACATGGCATGAGCTGTTGTCTTTTTTTGTGCCTGAAGTGTGGGCAGAGAGTTCATGAACAAAACCAAACTGCGTGGGAAATGCTGCCAAGAGTCAGCGACTGAGATCTCATCTTTTTTTTTTCCTTTTTTTTTTTGAAACTAGGGATTGAACTCAGGCCCTTGTGATATTCCAAGGGCCATATTCCACTGAGCCATCTCCCCGACCCCTCATTTTACTGAAAAGTTTTTGCATGTCAAAAGAAATCACCAGCAGAGCAAGAAGAAAACCCATGAACCGGGGAAAAGGGTTAGCCGACTGTCCCTAGGAGCTGCCATTAGGGAGGTAGATGGACGGTCAGAAGGCGTCTGCAAGCAGGTTGGCTGTTCTCAGGTGCATGGGACAACAAAGGCCAGCTATCCCGCCCGTGACTTGTCCAGATGACGTAGATGGCAATGAAATCGTCTCTCAGCCTTTGTGTTCATCTGGCAGTTGCTTATTGGTGCTGTGAGATTGCTGCATGGCAGCTTCTGGGAGTTGAGAGGAGAGGAAGGGAGCTTCAATGGGGAATGGATGATGATGAGACGGTGCCCGCCCTGCTTGGGAATTCGGTCAAGCCTGTCGTGGGAAGTGATGGCTGGCTGGGCCGTGGGGCTGGTGGGAGGCATGTCAGCTGGAGGTGGAAGATGAGACAGGACGGGAGCAGGGCAGATGCAGCGCCTAGCAGGAGGAACAGCACAGAGAGGCTGGACAAAGGTGGGGGCGCCGTGCGTTCTGCACACTTGAGGTGCTCTGTGCGGCTGCCGGGGAGACGCCTAGTGGGCGGGAATGGAGACTCGCTCCTGCTCAGGGGCAAGTGCTGTGTTGCTCCGCTGGGAGCGTAGGCCTTCGGGGCACTGAGGCAGGACCAGCAGTTCACAGGATGGCGAGAGCCAACCACTGAGATCTCACTGAAGCCTATCCATGCTCTTGAGTTATTAAATAGGGAGACGGAAAGGTGGTCCTGGTAATCAAGGCCTCACTTGGGGTGGCTGCAGGGCGGAAGGAAGAGGACGAGTCTGGTGACACCAAGGACCTGCCAGCACAGATGCTGCTGGCAAGGAAGGAGAGGGACAAGGACAGCAGGATCACGCGTGAGGGCTGGACTGTGCACCCTGGATCCAGTCCCAGCCCCAGTGCCTGCTGACCAGGTCACTTCAGAGGAGGAGTGTCCTTTGTGCCTGCGCCTCCCTCCTGGTGCGGTGGGACCCTGTGTTTGTGGCCTCCCGGGTTCTTGTGGGCGTGAGCTGAGTGGGCACCTTCCGGGTTCTCAGGCATGCCGGGTGGAACCTGAGCCACATGGCCGCTGGCAGCGGCTGCTCTCGCCCGAACTAGAACTTGTCATGGTTTCAGATAAGATTGCTGATTATTCTGTCCTCGCTCATTGCTAAATGCTTTAGCCTGACACTTTGTCTTGCTCCACAAAGATCGAGTTCTTCCCCACAAGGACCTGCGTCTACTCTGAAGACTCCAAAAGTGGCTCTATCTCCTTCAGTGACAGCCAAGAGGATAAACAGAGGTTCTCTGTCTTCAAGCACCGGTGTAAGAAGGTAATTTCCTTTCTCTCTTCCAGGATTATGGCTTGAGGTAACAGTAGGCCTCTGCCACCTACCCTGGATCCCAGCTCTGTCCCTTACTAGCCGGGTGCAGCAGCAGTGTGTTTGGTCAGAGGAAGGGAGGGAGAGGGGAGAAGCCCTGAAGGCTGGTAGCCCCGGAGCTTCTGTCGCTGTCCGGCTCACGAGCCGAGGCGAGGCTGAGTGGCAAGGAGGGCCCTGTCGAGTGTCGCCTGCCCACCCAGTGGCTCTCCAGCTTGCTCTGTGGTCCCCACCCTGCGACCCTCCAGCACACATGAGGGGTCAGTGGTGGTGTGACTCTCCCCTGATGAGGCAAGAACCGAGACTGACCGGTGCTGGCTGCAACCTTGCCCCATGTGTGTGAGTTGCATCTGATGTGTGAGTCTGTTTTAACTCTTCCCTTTCACTTATTGTGCTTTTCATCAACTGTACACCTCAGAACAGTACAACTGTGGCATTTGGTTTCAGAACCTTGGTCGAAGTGTTTAGCCGGCGTCTTAAGTCCTAATTACTGGATTTGACCAAGGCTCTTGATGTGTGTGACCCAGGGCCACATACTTTCTCCGAATGCCGCTTCGTAGGCACACATGCTCTGTGGGAGTCCACACTGCTGTGCATGTCTTTCCCTCCTCTTGTGTTCTGTCCAGCTTCTCCATAAACTCGCGGCTGGCCAGTTCTCTGGGGAACCTGAATGCTGCAACAGATGATCCGGAGAACAAGAAGGCGCCCCTGCCCGCCAAGGCAGCCTTCCCGGCCAACCCATTCACCAACCTCCTGAATGGCAGCCCCCAACCACCAGCCAGGAACTACCCTGAACTCAACAACAATCAGTACAACCGAAGCAGCAGCAGTGGCAGTGGGGGCAACCTGAACAGCCAGCTGGGGCGCCAGGGCGCCCAGACCGAGGAGCGTGTCCCCATCGTGCGGCCCTCTTACGCCGGGCTCTCCTCCTCTTCAGCAAGATTCCTGAGCCGGTCCATCCCTGTAAGTTGCCCAACACCACCTGTTGATCCTCAGAATCCTGAACACAGCTTTGGTGCCCTGCCTTCCCACCAGAGGCTTCTCCCAAAGCAGCTCAACAGTGCCAAGGAAGCCTTCTGACCGCTGCCTCCCTCCTGCTGTGCCCCGCTGTGCCCTGCCTTCTCCTGGCCCTCTCCAAGTAAATGCCACGTTTCAGCTGGGCTTTCTTCTTCCTTTTTCTACTCCTCTCTCCTTTTTACGTGGTCTCCCGTAAGCGGGAAGCAGCTTTTGTGTGATCATCGTGAGTGCTATTGACTTAAATTCCTTTCCAGTTACGTGTCCAGGTTGCTCTGATACCTGGTACAAAGCCAGCCGCACTTGGTGTAGTCAGTAGCGTTCGCTTCCATTGTGGAAGCATTTGGAGGCGAGGCTTTTGCACATCGTATGTCATCAGTAATTAGATATGGAGTGGGGTTTTGGTACCAGACATCAAACCCAGAGCACTGCGCCTGCCAGGCCCTGTGCTAGCGAGCTGCATCCCAGCCCTGGATGTGGAGTGTTGAATTGTGGAAAGCGCTGAGTGAACGGTATTTTTCTAGAAGTATGTCAGGCCCCTTCCAGACACTGACCCAGGATTAAGTGGTAATGAGACTGTTTGTAAGATAGGCTTACAGGTGCATAGCTGGGGCCCAAGGGGCAGGAGCAGGTGGAATACCAGGAAAGCAGCAGAAGCCAGCAATCTTTTCTAGGAACAGGCTGCATCTTACTAATTAGGTCCTTATGTAAGCAACCAGACACCCTCTTAATGATCAGCAGTCTCGGTCAGGGCGAAGTCCATTGGCCAGTTCTCTACCAAAAATTTAGTATTCTATTTTCCCTAAGCAGTATTGAGACTTATAGGAATGTGAATTTTGATTTGATAGAAAAAGGACAAACAGAAGGCAGGCTAGAGTCCACATATCAGGACAACATGCAGCATGGGAGACAGTGATTGTGTCTGCACAGCAGCAGACGCCTGTCCCAGGGAGGCTCAGGCCTCACGTGATTGCGTCTGCACAGGACCAAACCCAGGGCCTGGGGAGGCCCTGGCCTCACACCCTGAGCACCCACAATTCTGTAACCGTTTCCTCAGCATCATCCAGAGAGAGGTGGTTCTGCAGGGAAAGGGGTGAGGGGGGAGAAGAGAGCTGCTGGAGGTGCTGCTGTGTGCACTTGGCCAAACAGTGGAGCGCGGTGAAAATGGGCTGCTGGGCCCCCTTTCCTTAGGATGCAGGGCGTGCGAGCGTGCATGTGTTTGTGCCCATGTGTGTGCGCATGCACGCGTGTGTGCAGGTATATTGGGCTCTTTATTACTTATCCCTTTGGTCTCTTGAAAAAACTTCTCCCCCCTCTACCCCCACTCAGTCTGTTCCCTAGAGGTGCTCTGGCGCATACAGACTTCCTGCTGATTTTATTTTCAGTGATTTTAGGTCTCTTTGTGGGTTATGGCGCTGGGTAGCTATGCGCCCACGCACTCCTTCATCTGATTCCGATCTCTGTAAACTGAGGAGCTACGTGCCATGAAAACTTAAATCTTCAGGGTTAGATGGAAAAGGGTGGCGACTGACAGTTCTGGTAACTGTGCAGCGGTCGTGTGCGGCGCCCCGGAGCTGAGCTGTGCCAGTATGTCCTGCTGTTGCGGGCCGGCCTCCCTTTTGGGCGTAATGCAGGTCCGTTTGCAGAATGTGTTACAGGCAGTAGAGGAACGTCTTGCAGACTTCATAGCTGGAGCTTCTGCGTCGTCCACGGTGCAGCCCAGCTTTGGCCATGCGGCAGGAATCAGGTTCTGCCTTTCCAGGCCTCGCTTTTCTGGGGGGTGGCGGGGGACTTTCTTTGGGCAAATATTGACAACCCCTTCGATGTCCTAGTGCTGGCCTCATCCCATGTCTTACTTCTTTTCACCCTTCCTCCTTCTCGTGCACAGTTTTCTCTTGGCTGTGAAGGGATGACTCTTCTAGTAATTGAATTTAAAGTCGCAGTGTGCGTGGGCTGTTGCTGCTGCCCTCTGCTTCTCCCTGCTGAAGTTGTCATCTGATTGCGAAGGAAAGCGTTTATGAACTGGCCTGCTAGGGTAGACCCCTCGGGTCTCTCACGCAGGCCCGCCCTCCCGTCCTTGCTGGGGAGACTCGGAGTTGTCCCCGGCCGCCTTGCTGGCACGGGTCCACGTCCGTGTGGCAGGTCCCGCTCTGTGCAGCAGAGCAGGAGGTTGTGGGTTGTGTTCACTTATGGTCCACTGCGGCTTTTCTGACTGTGATGGGCTTGTTGCCCAAAAAGCTGGCCTCTTTTCAGTGACGCTGAACTCGGGAGACCCTTGATTACTCAATAAAAAGTGTCCTGAAATCCTTAGGGAGGAAAACGAAGCCTGCAAGGTAATATCCTCCCAGTACCTTTCAGAAAGACCTAGAAACTCCTGGGGAGGAGGGTGACGGGTGTTTAGAGGGAGTCTAATATTTTAAAAGCTACAATTAGCATCTCTTTTGAAAGCTGCAATTGCTCTCTCACTCTTTGCAGCAGTTCAGCCCCCAGAAAAATGTAAAAATGATTTCCTTGTTCTGTCATTAAATGCTTCCACACAGAAAACAGGAATAAATGTTAAGGAACCCTCGTGGTGGTGACAGAATACTAAGAAAGTCAGATTTATTTTTATTAATTTGGCCTCCTGTGCTGGCCGTGCTGTCTCCACTGCCTAGTCCCATGCACACGATTTCCGTTTTGTTGACCCACTTACTGTAAAAAATCAGTTTCACTCCTGACAGGAATTTTCAAATGCCTGAGAAATGAGGGACATGTAATTAGGGTGTGGGTGTGGGGTGGAAGTATTTTATTAAAATGAAATTGCTTGTGGTATCTGTCTTGAATATCTGCCATGTTATATTTTTATGATGCTTCTAATGGAGTTGCTGCTCAGCTCCTTGGCCTCACCTGACCCAGGGCTGGTGCGGCCTGCGCTTCCCCCGTGCGCTGTGTGTCCCTCCTCAGGCTGGTCAGAGACTGTCCTCACTCTGCGTAGCCGTCCCCACCACCTGACTCCGCCTCTGGCTCCACGGCTCTGGGCTTGTGCCTGCTGTAGAGTAGGCATCTGGAAGGCGTCTTTGGCTTGGTTAGGAGGAGGAGGAGTGAAGCTGTGACTGTGGAAAGGACGACGGCTCGCGTTGCAGAGGTAAAACTCCCAGGGGCGCGAGAGAGCACTGTGTTGTGCGTGGTCGCCCTGCGGGTGTGCAGAAGAGCCTCACTCAGAACTTGGTTAGTTTGACTCAGCCGCACATATTCTTTGGGCAACATTGTCGCGTCCGTACTGTGGTGTCGTCAGTGCCTCCTGCGTCCACCTGTCCCACAGGGTCATTGTGACCCCAGGGAAGAGCCGGAAGTTGCATCAGGCCAGAGCCAGTGAGCGAGCTGGATGCAGACTATAGCTGTCTCTTCCCGTTGCCTGGCACCTGGCAGCAGCATCCACTGTGTCTATCATGCCTCATAACGATGCTCACGAAAGAGGGTTTCCGGAGCTGCCTCCCACAGCGGCAGGCCCCGTAGGACAAGTGTGGCCAGCGGCAAGTGGAGTGTTTTGAAGGGCGTTAATGGCAGTGTGTCTATGGTACTAGTTTTTCAAAATTCAAACATTCACTGATCACACTTTATTGTATAAACATCAATGCTAGCATATTTTATTATGACTTCTAAATGATATTTTTTTGCAAATGAAACTGCCTAAAGAAAAACTGTGGTCCTTAATAGGTACCTTTTTACAAAGAGCGAGCACAGGAGTTGTAGAACTGTGCTTTTTTATAAAGGTGCATGCAAAGTCAGTTTGGTTGCCAGTAATTTTTTGTCCATTCTGTTTTAGGATCTGATAAGCCTCTTAGAACAAGGTTTTATTGTGCTTGCCTGCAGGGTTTCTAGGTACATGTAATGATGAAGTATCCCACGGTAAATCCTTCAGAAGTTGTTTCAGAGATCGCCTATTAAAGTCTTCGTGATTTAAAAATCATTAAATAACCTCCATTGATTTTTGTCACTTGTGGTTACATTTTAATCTTTGAACACTTCTGGAATATTCCGTGGTGAAGGCTGTAGGTTGTATTGATGATAACACTTTTTTTTGGTGGTACCAGGGATCGAACTCAGGACCTTGTGTTTGCCAGGCAAGCACTTACTCCCCTGCGCTGTCTCCCTGGCCTGATAACATTTATTTCTGAAGCACTCCTGTTTCTCTCTGTTGCGCTGTTTCCTCATTGCCTGTGTGCCTTTGCATCTTTGATAATCCTTCTGAATCTCTTCCTATCTTTAGTTCATACTTCAAAGTAGGGCCGGAAAGCTTTTTCTTTAAAGTGCAGATAGTAAGTATTTTGCCTTTGGTCCTAGGTGTTCCTCCTCCTGCCCGAGTGAGCGGCGTGGCAACGCACTGCCAGATAGCGCTGATTTTGGAGCCTTAGTCGTGTGTTCAGAAGTGATCAGCGATGACTGCTAGGGAGGAAACCGAGTTCCTGTGTGGGACTCCCGGGCCTGCCTGCACGCTGCGCGTTTGTGCGTGTGTGTGTGCTCGTCTCCAAGCCTCCCTGTCCTCTCCCCACACTCTTCTCACCTGCTTCTGGGCCGAGAAACCTTTCCTGGAAGTCCTCCAACTTGTCTTTAGAGATGGCTGTTGCCCTCCGCCTTCTCTCCGAGTCTCTCCTCTGTGTTCCCACGTGTAGCTTCGGCTCCATCCGTGGGAATGTGGAGCACTTCATGTTTGTCCGTGGACAGCGTGGCTGTGGCATAGGCGAGCATCAGCACTTATTTTTGTGCTGCTCACGGATACCAGAGCACTTACAAATCTTAAACTTACTCTGTGCAGGCATTTCTTATTTTATTTTATTTTATTTTATTATTTTTTTCACAATTTTATTGAGAAACAAATAGCAATGAGAGTTTCAAATCCAATTAGTAGGACAGTTTCAATAATTAATACATTGTATATTGTTGTCTTAGTGGTTATTCATTGTACAAGA